CTGCTGCTGCTGCTGCTGATGATGATAATGATGATGATGGTAATGAAACATGACGTACCCTACAAAAGGAGGAGGCAGGGCCCAGTTCCCGTCGACAGATGACCTCGGGGTTGAAGAACTCTGGTCTGGTCTCATTGTCCAAGGTCAGTTTGAACCCGGGCACATCCACCCGCTTTGTGCAAGCCAACCTGAATTAAAAGAAAATAAAATAATACACACACGTGCATATACACGCACGCTCGCACCCCCCCCCCCCCCCCCCACACACACACATTTCCCATTGTCGAGAAGAAACGAGGCTGTCTTAAGCAGGACTGGTCATAATGAAGAGAACAAACCACTGCCTTCAAACCTGCTCTAACGACCACATGTCCAGGGTCATCACCTTTACAAACGACCACTTCCCACTTATCCCCTTGTGTTTTCTCTGAAGGATATATACATTTTGATAATATATGGTCGCTTTTAAGGACAAGTGGGCTAACCCAGATTTCGGGGGTTTGCAACACCAAAAGTAAATATTGCCCTAACTATATGAGAAGTTTGGTCTCAGCGGTGAGTATATTTGTTTGGTTATTGAGAAAACCCTCCTTGTCTTTTAAAGAAACTGAACAAGGGTCCAAAAACGTTACCTTCGATTTTCTCAAAACAGCATTTTTCGGGATAGCCCCCTTGTGCTTAAAAGCGACCATATAAAACATGATATAACATACAAGCACACGCACACAAACAATCTTACACACACATAAAGGCACACTCCTACATACGTGCAAGAGGTCAAAACTCACTGCGGCAAAAAAGCGTTGATAGATCGCCCTGCGCAAGAGGAGAATTGAAAAATGCTGGCAGAGGGGGGTTCTTCATCCTGGAGTCTTCTCATGACGAACGGTCCTCTACAACTTTCATCAACGTAGTCTTCGTCGTCCAAGGCGTTTAAGCTGAGGAGAAAAAAAACAAACATATCCCAACATACAGCTAAAGGGAAACTGATTTTTTGTGTGAAAAATTGTTAGTCTCTTCAATGTTGCACGTAGCTGACATTAAAGAATGACTCATCACTTGTCGGATAACGTCAATGAACTTTTAATATTTCAACGAGGGTACAAGTGATGACGACATCAACTGAAATGAAATGGAAGACACAAGACCGTGATGTAGAACGGTATGATGATGAGTGATCGCACTGACAAATGAAACTAGATCTTCTACACGCAGAAGTCCCCAAGGCGCGCAGAGTGATGATGATGATAGGACATGAACTGATGAATAACACTTATACTACAGCTACAGAAATGCGTTCGATCTCCGTGTGCGCGGAAGTTACGCCAACCAACGAGTAGCTCTGTTCGTCTGTTAGGACCTTATCCCAATCATTCCGACCGCCAAGATCGGGGCAGCCCATAATAGTTTAAACTGTCAAAACTGTATTTATGGGCCCGTGAAAAATTTGCAGCATGTAAAGGACCTCTAGGTTACAGATACGATAGGCAGGTATGGCACAGCTGTTTACCCATTTGAGAAACTTTGCAGAAATTATTTGCAAGTTGCATCATTTCAAGTTGGAGGTATATTTATAATCACATGGTATTTCTAATTTTTTTTCTTGAGAAACATTCCTTTTCAACCCAGCGAGTCCATACACGCAGTACCAACAGGAAAGTGCGCAATGATACTTGTAAATAAATAAAGATAAAATAAATTACACTTTTATTTGTCCCGGAAGGGCACTTTTGTTTACAATGGCTAACATACATTTACATACATTATAAATACATAATTATAAATACGTACATACGTAAATACAAGCATAAATACGTACATAAATACACAATATTACACAAATACAGAACAGTTTACAATCATGCCACTGTCGGTCGCCACTGTGCAGCGCCCTGTATTTTGAGCTAGGGTTTTCATGTCTTGCTCAAGGACATACCCCAGTGACCACCCATCTGATCCCCGTGTCATCGACACTTGCTTGACATTACTTGAGACTAAACCCACTACTTACTTAACCACTGGAGCCCCCAATATACATGTCATACATCATGTAGTTCGGTTAGTATCAGGCTGGACCGCAACACAGATTATTTCGGTTCGAATTCTAAATGGGGAGCTATAATTACAATTAAATTTACTTTATTTTGCTTGTGGAGTTTTCGAAGCTCCAATCAATGGAAATGAACATTAAATCAAATTCAAGAATCAAGGACTCCGGATTTAATGTTCATCTGCGGGCACGCGACTGACCCAAGATGGTGGAGTCTTGAAATCAACCAAGTCCACCCCATCAATCAATCAATCAATCAATCATTCAATCAATCAATCTATCAATCTTTAATCATGAAAGAAGAAGAAGAAGAAGAAGAAGAAGAAGAAGAAGAAGAAGAAGAAGAAGAA